GTAAGCTGTGTTGAGAGAAACTTATTCACCTTGATTAACAGACCCTTGTGAGTGAAACCACTAGTTTCACTGATGTTGCATTGTGATGAGTCACACCGTAACTAACTTTTGTCTTTTGTCATTACATTAGAAATCTAAATAACATTGAAGTGTAACCGGTTTTATTCAGCCCAGAATTCAATTTGCCTCTTTACTTTTTGAAACAGACTTGTATTGAGTCTATGTAAATCCATTCAGACAGACTTCTATGTAGGGCTATCTGGAGAACAAGATTTGTAGGCAGGGGCATCTTTACAGTACATCAGACACACATTTTACTTTCATCAAAGAAACTGCAGCTTCTGCGATTTAGATATTGTACTTGGCCATATTGTGATAATATTTCGATTAATTGGGTTGGTTCTCTCAGATGCCCTCCCCCCCGTGGCTGACACTGAACACTAGGGCTGAAACGATTCATCGAGTCAATTGATAAATAAAATGCATCGACACAAATTCTTTGCATTGATGCTTCGTTTAATCCATATAACTATACAGCACAGTGTTTCAACTGTTGCACATTGCACTTAGGCTGTGAACAGGACGTGATTATGATGCCGCTGTTTGCAAAGTGGAGGAAGAGAGAGAAAGCGATGGACAAAGAAGAAAGTTGGATTATTTCAAGCTAAAAAAAACAACAACACTGTAATGTCACAGTCCGTCCACTGAAAAAACGCCTCGGCATCTGATCACAAAGCATCCGGTGTTCTGCCAGCAGACCACAGACAAGGTAACAGTAACAGCAACTTTAGCATTTCACTGAAATCATGATTGATTGTTGAGTTAGCCAAAGGAAGCCACAATCCTCAGCTGAAAATGTACACATGTGCGTTTGTTGTTCCCCTTTTTGGGCCGTGAGTTGTAACCTCACAGTCTAGAGTTAACTGGGTGTCGGGGAGTTGCACCTCCAGCTCTCTCTGTAGCTCAGATAATCCCTGCTACCTGCATGTGCTAATCCATCCTTTCACCCATATTCTTTGTCTTTATATTTGCTATCTTTATAATAACAAAAAGCTGTTTCGTGTTCAGGATCGCTCATTTCCCGTTTCATGTGTATTTTCTTCACAAAATGTGGTTTGGAGACCTGTGTCGGGTGACGCAGCTCCTGTAGTGTGTGACCCCCTGTCACCGATCAGTCACGCAGTGTGAACGCCACAACGACTTCAAGACTCCCGTCAAGTTGTGTAGTGTGAACGGCACGACCATCGGCCAAAGCCCACTTGTATAGCACTCGGTGATGTTTCTGTTTGTAAAGCAGCTGTCTGGTTGTTGGTCTGATGTTTGCTGTATGACACACTATGAATTTCCGAAAGGACCAATAAAATATCTATCACCTATAAACATGCACAGCTGATTCCGTTACGGGGGGGACACATCAATGAATCGTAGAATTAATTTATAGAAGCTTCGAATACTAAAATCATCGTTAGCTGCAGCCCTACTGAACACACATCTTGGGTGCTGATAGTCTCTTTTCCTTCCTTAGAGTATTAGCTTAGCTCCGCCCACACCTTTTGTTTAGCTTGTTGTTTCCTGTAACCATGTATATGATCCTGTCCAGAAACTCAGTCTGGTCCAAGATAATTCTACAGCTTCGTTGTGAACTTCTGTCTCCACGTTGAATAATACTCATCCTAACCAGCCACACAATTGGACCCAACGGAAATTTTCTTTCAGACCTTGTCCTGAAAAGAGTGCTGTGTAAAGACAAGCCTCTGTGGGTCATTGTTTGATTGTATGATGTAGATCATGGTGCTCCTCAAGTTGCTTGTGCAAGACCAGTGTTGGTTTAAATTATTAATAATGTCGTGCTGCTGGTATATTTCAGTATGATCCCTGATGCCATATCTGCACAATACTACTGACTCACACAGGTGATCTCTAGCAAAGGTCATGTTTCTAAGCAACAGTGAGGTTTGACGTTATCACCGCAACAGTGAGGTTTGACCCTTCACAAGCACGTCTTCCACTATCACTACTGAAGTGCTAGTGTAGATACTACCAGTAGCTCCAACTTTGACCTCGTCTTACAATTGACAAAAGATGATCTTTTTCATAGAGACAAGAATAATTTAAGACAGTTATTTCTATGATGGTAAAGAGTCTAAGCCACTGATCTACCCATGAGGCTATTTTTTAAACATCAAATAATTAATGAAACATACTCAGAGAGTCAAATGCCTTGTCAAAGTGTAGACAGAAGCTAAGTCTTAAGCTGCAAATTCAAAGGTAAATCCACAGTTGATTCTGTCACGATTTCAGTTTTGTCAACAAAATGTTGTGATTAAATAAAAAAATATACACCAACTGTAGAAGGAGGTACTACGAGGGACACATACTGTTCAAGAATGAAAACAGAGCTTTATGGGTCAACCCAGTGATACTGTCTTCCACCTTAGTTATCATCAATTGTTTACAATATATTAAGCAATCCTTTCAGGAATGGGCAGGCCTCTTAGGGAACCATTTACTCGGCAAACAAATGAGCTAAACAATTGCAGCATTCCTGAGATAGTGTTAATCAAGACTTAATGGATTTTAAGAAAATTAAACATCTGTGCAGCTTATCAACTACACACAGTGAAACCAGATTTAAGAAGTCTGCTAAATAAAAGGCAAAAAACAACCCACAGCGTTGCAGTTCACGCACAGAGAGCAGCTCAATCCCAAACTATGGAGAGCATAGGCCTACATTAATTGCCATTTTATGATTGACCTGTAATTACAAATACTGACTGTGTTAATAATAAACAAAGCTTGTGTTGACAGAATCGAGTTCAATTCTTTATTTGCACTGTCAAATCATCCTCGATAATCATGGTAATAAAACTGCAGCACCGCTGAGAACATGACTACACTTGTAAAATAATTGCAAGCAGAGCACGGTCTGGCTCGCTACTCTCCATAAAGTAAGGTACTAGCAACCAAAAATGTTTTAATATTTTGCATTCTTGTTGAACAGATAATGCCATATAACAGCATCACAAACTAGCTAACAAACCACAAAAAAAGGAAGGTGAGACTAACTGCACGTATGGATGTCAAACTTGTTACAAGGAGTCTCGCTAGAAGAGGGGAATACTGGAATCAAACGGCTTCACAGCCACCAAGGTAATAACCAAAAGGTGTGTCCCATTGCATGTTCATGTATTACTAGTGAACATTATCAGATTTAACCTAACTGAAACGTCAACCTGAAAGTTGATACTGGGTGGTAGTTTGATGATAATATAAATAATAATAATAATAATAATAATAATAAGCATTACGCCCTACAGTGTAGCCTACTCATTATTGTTTTTAACTGCTGGTGAATATGGAATAATATAATTTAGAAACTTCTTATTCTTCCTGATTATAACCACACAGATACTTTCAAACACACCCTTCCTCTAAACAAAAAAACAAAAAAAACTGTATCACTTTATCACTATAAAGTCATCATGACTTTATAGTAAGCTTCCAGCGCCAATTACAGCTTTTGACACAAGTTGATAACTAGTTATTTCTGTATTGGTCTGTACCCTTATTACAAGAGCCAATCCAGAGTATAACTCATAAATACAAGGGCTTTGCCACTTACTTTAACACTGTTAGGGCATATTCTCAGTAAAATTACATCCCCTGGGTTTTGATTTATATTAAAAGCTTTTGCACTGGGTATAACCAATTCAAGAAAAGTATTTGAGGGAGAAATAAGGGCAGAAAGGCACCATGCACGCAGGCAGGGATGCTTTAGAAATAAATGGACTGAGGATGTGCTTTTAGGCTTGTAAGATATTAAGTCCACGGACATGAATCAGATGCTGGTCCAAGGCTGAGCAGTGTAGCAGCCACACTGAATTACCCACAACCCATTTTCAGCCGTCCTGGGATAATCAGCAGCTTAAGGTCACAACTGTTTACTGCTCCTGTCAGCCCACATACTTGCCTCATTTCTTTTCTGCCTCCCTTCAGCTTCCTATACTTTCATCGCGCCTTGAACTCACTCTCTCACTTTACCCTCATCTCTCATATTCACTCCATGACCTTGAGCTGCATCCTAACAGAGAGCCACCCAAGCCAGGTGGTCCCACTCTGCCTGTCCTCTCCCCAGAGACACTGGGCTTCTCGCCCAAAAAGTAAAGGCTGTATGCGCCCCGCCTACAAGCTGGTGCTCAGTCAGGCCCCTAATGTCACAGGGAACTGACAAGATGCTGACTGCCAGAAAAAGTTAGCAGGGGACACTGCAGTGTTCTGTGGAAAGAACAACATGGGGAGTGTTTGACGATAGATGAAGAGACAGGACAGATTTTAGAAAGAAAGGAGAGTGTGAGGTGACGAGCAACAAAGGATGAGGAAACAGCAGACAGTGAAGCAACACAGGAAAGAGAAGGAGGTATACAGACGTCTTTCAGAGTGTAAAAGAGGACACAAACACTAGGAGGATCCCATGTTGAAAATATGCCAAATAATTGGTGTCCCAAAATCCAGACTGATGCATCAAGCTGCTTACTGTAGCAGGAGTAAGTACAGAACTAGCAAAATACCCTTTCCAGATGATGCTGACAGATCTGATGACTAATCTGCGTGACCAGCAGTATAGCTTTACCCTTAGAGTCGCCAACTGAATTGAGCTATTCTGGTCAAACTTGTTATGTCAGCATACCAAATGGTATGGTGGCATGTTATCTGATCACAACTTTGGCATCTAAATTAACCCAATAATCTCTTCATCATTTGATTTTGATCCAAAGAGCAGTCTGAAAACAAACTCTACCTTGAATTGTTTTGATTTTCAGGTTATGGTGCATCTGAACAACTGGCTGCAAATGGGTTAACATACCTGCAAAGAAAACACCTGCAGCCAGGACCATGTCCTGGAAAGACTTAACTCAAATTCCCAACTGTTAGGTCACATGCATTTCTACATGCTACGTGCATTAACATGACAACATACGTGACATTCACATGATACTCACCTAATTTCATTAAAGACGCAAGCAGCACCCATAATGAGATTTCAAAAGGGACCTGTATGTGGGGGTAGTCGAGGCTGAGCACAGGGAAAGGTTTTTTAGTGAAGTTATGCCCTTTGTCTGCCACTTTGTGTTTGTCCAAATGTTCCTGGTGGCTGATATCCGGAGAGCTGGAAGCTCCGAGAGGAAGAACGGAGCCCTCCAGAAACACCAAAACCATCAGCAGGAGCAGTCCCCGCTCCTGTAAAGTCTTACCGATACCAGCCGGGCTGTGTGAACCCGCCCCCAAAGGCATGATGCTGAATATGATGTTGGCGTAATGTAATATGAAAAGAAATGCGATCGTGCAAGTACGACTGAAAAGCAAGCAAGTTCAAGGAAGTTGGGTAACGTTACAGCTGAGTTGGTTTCAACTACGTAACATTACGACAGTCAATTTAAATCAACTATTCAACCGTCGAACATTCAAACTGACTTTAACGGTCGGTTCGACTAGCTTAAACAGAACCAGAGACCCATTCTGTCCGGTAACGTTGGCTAGCTTGACTTCTGCGTTGTTGCTTGCTGCCAGGTAGACAGACGCGCCGACACAGGCCGTTTGAAGAAAGCAGGAAATGCCAAGATGCTCTTACGAGTTTCTTTTTACAACAGCACAGACCATACTGTAAAACGCAAACCTATCCTATTCGTTTTCCCCCCTTTTTTTCCAGCGGTGTTTCACAAGTTTGTCGGTTTCTATGTCAGTGACTATCAATGTCCTCTTCGGTCAAAATGTCATTGTTGATGCTGGAGGCAAGCTAGACACAGCGGCATCCCCAACACGCTTCTTCTTCCCTCTGACTGCCCGAGAAACTCGTCCGTGAGGCGGAGATGCCCAGATACTGACCTTGAAGAGAAGCCACACAGCTGTCACATAGCATTTTGCCGTGTGCCCAATGTAATTCAACTTTTTGATATTAATGTCCCCGCATGCGGCATCTCCATCGTGATCCTAGGAGGACAAGACCTTGGTATGGCTTTCAGGTCAGAGGGAGGATGGTGAAAGACTTGGGGCTTGCTGACCACTGGTTTCAGAGGCTTGTCCCGGGTTGTCAAGACAAGTGGCGACAGCTCCTCTCTGTAGTGGCTTCATACATATGCACACAAAACGCACACCCTTTCGCGGACGTTTGGTGGATGGGAGGAGGAGAAGGTGTAGAGTGGAAGGGGAGGGGGATGGCCGACTACAGTGACACCTATAGGAATGGAGGTTTAAGGTATCTCATTGGGAGAAAGAAAAAGGATCTCCCTTAATGCTGCTTCTGAAACAAAAATTCTCCTTTACACATCTGTTCCTGAATTAGATAGGCTATGCTTTATCTATGTTGTTAATATTTTTTTCTTGATAGCTTTCATAGGGAGGTCAAAGGTCAGGGCCAAATAGACTAAAGTCCAGAGAGCAGAGTATTTTGCTCAAGGACACTTAAGCAGAATAACGTTGATGCTCACTGTCATCTAAGCTTTAACACTGTCAACTTAAATCACTACACCACTTGGTGTGATTGCTCTACTGAAAACCTTTAGTGTATGTTTGCAGTGAGCAGCCAGTTACACACCTATCATCATAGGTCATTATCCAGCCCTTTGCCAGCCCTGGCTGGTTACACGAATGTTACCATGCTAGTGTGCCTTTGCCTACATCTCGGATGACATCTCGGATTATGCCCGAGGACACCAGTTTACGCCATGATCTGAATACTTAATTAGCATGACGTGACCTAGCATTATGAGCAGTGATATTCATATTGGCTGGCTAAGGAGTGGGCCTGCATACATTTGCAGAAATTAATTTTAGCTGGGATAGAACATTGGCTACAAATAACCTTTAAGGTCACCGTGTTTGTCTTAGAAGTCAGGGGTCTGTTTCAGCTATCAAGGGTAGCCCTAGAGCAAGCTCAACTCATTCCTCAGTGACACTTAAGTAAAGCACATATGTTCTGTACTGAACCAAGGTACTTGTGTTAAAAGATAGTCATACTAATCAATATACTGTTTGTTTATTTGGTGTGTAGTGTCCTTGAAAGCTACTCAAATCGCAAGTTCAAAATTATGACTCAACATAACTGGTGAATTTCCAAGCACACCTTCCAGAGAACATATAATTGCCCTTGATGACTTGAAGCAGGCCTGCTGGCCAAGGGTAACATTACAGGCTTTTTGAAACCAGTAACGTTTTTACTCAGAGTTGACCATAGACTGTACAATAGAGAAGTTGACCGTGAAGCAGCACAAGGGCATCCCAAAGTAGGGCCGCAATGATTACTCGATTAAATTATTAATCGATTTAAGGAAATTAACCTATGAATTGCTTATGTCATTTTTAAGCAAAAATGCCAAACATTTGCTGGTTTCCCTCCATTGATTTTTAATCAAAATAACCCCTGGTTGGTCAGTTTGTCTTTGCTGTGATACAACATTACAGTAATAACTGTTGAGAAATGTTTCCACCTATGTATTCAAAACTGGCTTGCGTCCTTGCGTCCCCAAAAATTAGGCCAGTAAGACAAGAAATGAAGAGTGACATGGGTTGATTATAGTTTTGTGCTCAAATAGCTGCTTTCTGGACTTGTAGACAAGATATTGGCTAGTGAAAGAAAGTGTAAAGACATTAATTGTTCTGAGAAAAAGCTGTTAAACAAATATAGATTAGATAATGTCTAGTCTGTCAGAATGATCCGTGGTGCATTAATAAGGTATGGTCAGGGTTGATAACAGTGTGCTGCACAACACCCACACACTTAAACACAGAGTTCAGGCGACTAAGTGTCTATGCTGTTAGTCATTTCTGTCTGTCTGTATCACTTTTTATGACTTGAGGTGTTTTATGTTTTATAGTTAGTTAGATACTGCATCATGATCGGGGGAAACAGCGCAGGTGGCACACCTAATACTCTTGTACTGTGGTCACTGCTAGCTCTTGCTGACGGTGTGAACCGCTGTATGGTTTGCTCTAATGGACGAGTTCCAAATTAATTTTATATACTAACTGTATGCAGTATATATATATATATAGATATACTGCATACAGTTAGTATATAAAAGTGATTGTTGTAATGTTTTGCCATTAGTATACCTACAAGAAGTCAACATATTTTATTGTTTTATATAATAACAGAACAGGAAATTATATAATACATATAATAATACAGCAGTCACACTGAGACTTTAGGAATTAAACTTTGCAAGGAGAAGTAAAATGCCTCTGTAATGATTAAACACTTATTTATTATGCTTGCCTCACCACAGGTTTCAATTTATTTTAAAATGAGGACATTTTGACATGTCACATAGCAACAAAACCATGGATGTAATAATAAAATGAGCAACTGCTGAATTTCATTTAGCTGTTTAAGTTTCATGGTCCTATGCGCATGCTACCTCACTGTCAAACTGTCATGGCTTACTGGGCTCAGCCATTAATGTTGTTATAACCTTGTTATGTTGTTTCCCTACTATGCAAATCAAAATGTCTGTTGTGAAAATGTTTACTCAGCTGTGAGTAGTACATCCATTTCCTTTGTACATTGCCAATAGTATAGATCAACAGAACACATCTTCAAGGGTTTTTAGTATGCATGCTGACTGTTTTGATTTGAGTATAATTAATTTTTCCATGTCTCCAATATGAACAAACCACAGACCCAAAACCTGCTTAGAATTTGCTTTTCACTTTTAATGGGCCACTTTTTAAATAGTGTGTTAATTGAAGTTAAAGTGTCTTTGAACTTTTGTTGTCATCTCTGTGTACTTTGTGGAAGTGAAATTTGAATATACTTCCACATTTTCTGTTAAGGCAGGCTTGGAGGAGGAGCAGTGAATACTAAACTGTTGGTTATATTCAGGGCAATGTTATTTCAGTACATGCACTCATGTCTAAAATGTATTATGAATGCCTTTATGTCTGCTGGATCTGCAGCAGTTTGTGCTGTTTGAGAGGAGGGCATCATTATTTCTACTTGTGCATTCAATTTGTTGGGGGGGCTATTAGTTATCTATTGTTACTTATATCTTGACAGTTTGTTGGTTTATTGTGTGTTTGGTATATTTGTCTGTTGTTTTGGTGTTTCCCTTTTTAAGATAATGGTATAATCATAAATGAATGTCTATTTCTTTTGCTCTCATAACTATTTGAGTTGCAACCTCTTTCATTTATCTATTTCTAAGTAGGGTTACTGCAGTACTTGCTCACGTTTGCACAGTAAGAAAGCCATGCTTGGGATGGTATACATGTTCTATTGCAAGACCATGTATTGTATACCATATCAAGCATGACTTTACAAATCGATTTGTAAATTAAGCCCCATACAAAACTAGTAGTAACCCTAAATAAAATCTATGTTGGGACACAAAACCTGCCTCTAGCAGCTTTGTTGTGGTAAAGTTGAGATGCCAAGAACTTTGCTGCATGAGCCCAGATTTCTGCTCTATGATTCCAAACATCATCAAACTCTTGGAGAAAGTAATAGGAGGCATGGTGCTGTGGTTAGTGGATATGAGGGAAATTACTCAGGAGGACGGAGCTAAACACATGCCATGCCTATCATATTTGTGCTACGACTACTTATAGCAAAATAGAGTATGTGCTTCAAGGCCACATGAACCAGATGCCCTACGGGTTCAGTGCTGCAGTCAAGGCCAATCTGCACCCTAAAGCTGAAAGCCAGCAATTCAGATATGATCAAAGATAAATTGTACTCTACTAAAATAAATCCCCAGCCAGAAGAAAAAGGAGTTGCGTGTTGAAAGCTTTGTATTCATCCAAGATCGGGCAAGAACAATTTTATTGAACCTTATTGACCAAGCCTGCAGTCCAAAGCTTATTGGCTTTTGCTTTTGGGAGGCTTTCTTTCATATCCCTGAAGCCAAAGTAAGAACAGTCTCAGTGATAGAAGTCCATTTTGTCCTCTGAACTGTGCAATTACACAATTTCAGAACATAAAAACTCTACCATCTCACCCTGACTCCAAAATGGTTTATATGTCCGCTTTGAAGTTTCTATTTTCTACGTTTATCTGCATGGAGTTAGTCACTGTGTCTTGTCCCACAAACCACGCAATGTGAGCAAAACAAGTCATTTATTGCCAGGCAGCATTTGAAACCACAGAAATAAAACTGGCTGGAACTTTTATTATTTCCACAGGATTTAAAAACAAGGCAATTGACAGGCTTTGTAGTTTGTGGCTTTTATCTTTGTGTTCATTTCATATGGACAAAGTGACTCCAGTGTTAAAATCCTGTAGGGTGTACAGAATCATACTTATTCAGATATACATAACACACACAGGTAACATGAGGCTATGTGGGACTCTATATTCTACTTTGCATGTACATGTTGCTTACCAAGAGTCAGATTAAATCAGTAAATCATATACAGAGTAAGACTACTAAACAGTTTTTTTTTTCAATCCCCTGCACAGAAACTGTCTGCATCACTCATATGTTCCTGGCTGTACTGTATCAACATGGCTTTTCGTTAGAGGCTCGCTGCAGCATCCAGCGCTGTCATCTCCTGGATTTGTGACAAGTACCCAGCAGGTATGTGGGATAAGACTTGTAAAAACAAATGGTGATGTGATGCCACCTGGTATAAGCTCTGTAAATGATGACGAGCTCTGACAGCATGTCTGTCAGCAAGGAGAGGAGCAAAATATTTTGATGGTTTTATTCGCACTCTGCAGGGCAGAGGTAGTTATTTGAGGATTCACAGAGCACACGGTCACTTTTGACATGGAGCTGAAGCATCTGGATAATATCCAACTCCCTCTCGCTGTGTCTCTCTCTCTGTCTATTTGGCTCTCTCTCTCATAGGGTCATTGCTGCAAACCTCTTCCCCCGTATTTCCTCTAAGCCAATGCAAATATCACTGCTCTAACTAATTCCAGATCACATCATGCTTAATAAGTATACAATAGCTCCTGCAGACCACTGGTGTCCTTGGGGTATCATTTCCATCATCTTAGATTAAGGCAAAGACATATTTTCATAATTATGGTCATGTGGTCATGGCACGCTACGGGTCAGACGGTGATCCACATAATGTCTCTGGTGTAATTTGGTGGCTGCTCAGAATCAATGACCAATGTGACGTAAATGTTTTCAGCAGCTTAGTGTAGCTGACAGCATG